CTCGCAAACGACTGCCTCTGTCGCTGCTCGCCGCTCCTGCTCCCGCTGCCGCTGCTCACCGCTGTCGCTGCTCACAAACGCTGCCTCTGTCGCCACTCGCGCCTCCCGTTGCTCGCTGCTCCTGCTCCTGCTCCCGCTGCTCGCCGCTGTCGCTGCTCGCAAACGCTGCCTCTGTCGTCGCTCGTGCCTCCCGCCGCTCGCCGCTGCCGCCGCCGCCGCTTCCTCTTTTCTCAGTCAGCAGGCTTATACTGTTAATATTAAGTTTATTTGAAATGATTAATTTTCAATACTGTTAATAGATTAATAATATATTATTTTGATTTTAAAACTTTTTGTTAATGTGATATTGTGATTTTGTATCTTAGTTTTTTTAATTTAATAATATATTTTTATTTAAAATTTTAAATAATTATATTTATTAATTATATTATATATTTTTATATTTTAGCGCATTGCTTCGCTCGGACGAGCGCCTGAGCGAGTGCCTAGCGCCTTGAGCGTTTTTGGACCTTGGCACCTTTTGGCGCCTAGCGTTTTTTAAATCACTGATTTATGCATATAAATCTCCCAATATACTAAAATTTGCATATGTATAATCAACAAATAATTTTGTCTCTCCATGTGTTTTCTTCTCCTTTTTTGCTTTTTCGGTGATAAACAGTCATGTGATAGCCACAATCTTATTTAATTTCTTATTTCCATCCTTCATTAAATTTCCATCATTAGATGGAGAATTACCTGCAAGAATCCATTCTCCAAATTGCTTGGTCAATGAGGGTTTAGTTGCCTTGCAACCTGTTCATCGCTACTGTCAAAATAAAATTTCTTGAAAGAAACTTTTTTACCTGGACCTAGGATTGTGCTTTTCTTAGTTGAGCATTCAATGGAATCTTCGTAGCGAAGGCCTCATGTATCAACTTTTCTGAAACTTCTGTTCTCCAGATTTTTTTCAGATTTGCCATTCAATATTTTGTTTCTTTGCTCGATCAGATTTTCAGCTAGTACATCAGCAATGAGATCTTTTGATTCAGTGCTTCTCCGGTAGTATGCCCCTTCTGTTTTCAGAATTGTCATACTTCTTTTGGATCTTTTTTTGTTGATAACGAGTAGATCAACTTCTTTCGTTTATATTTCAAGTAATCGCTTAGCCTGTGGCCACAAATCTGTGATTCTTGATTCCTTTTTGTGCAGTTTTATAGTATAAAGATATTTCAAGCTTTCAAAGAGTTCTCTTACCATGGATGACTTCTTCAGATTTTGTATCAGGTAAGATTAGTGATCTAGATTGGTACAAAAGATGTGGTAAATTTTGGCTCACTACGGATGGCAAGTTAGTGATATTGGCCCTTGATATCCTATCATAAAAATGTGTAGTTCCTTACTTCTTGGTATTGCATACAATGTTTTAGCAAATGGATTTTCTTACCACCTTTTAGTTCAGGGCAAGAAGCATGAAAAAATCTGACACTGTGTTAGGTTTTTCTCCTAAAATACCAAGTCTGAGTGTATCTCATGTTGTTGTTCATTCTAATCCCAAGCAGCAACAATGTGGTTGCTGTCAAAGCAGAAAACAGATGAAAAATGCTGTTGTCATATATTGTAGCTGCAGAAAAGGAATGGGTCTAAGTGAGTATGATTATAGGAAAATAAGAGCTAGTAAGCTATATCATTTTATGGAGAGAAAGAAAGGCATTTGGCTGCTGAATAATTTTGTTTCTTAAATTTAAGCATATGACTGGTCATACACCCTTCTTCCACATAAATGTTTTGTGTATAGGGTCAACAGTTTGACGATTCCGAATCAAATTGGAAGCATATTTTGACGGTTCGGTTTTGATTCTTAGAATCTAGAATCGAAACCGGTAGTTCCGGTTAGTGGAATCTGGAACCAAAACTGATGGTTTTGGTTTTAAATTCCCGTAT